GAATGTATTCCAGCAGGTCCCAGGGACTTGTGCACCTTCAGGTTTCTCAGGTGCTCCCGAACCTGATCCTCTCTAATCATGGGCAGCTCTCCATTCTCCCAGTCCCTGCTCTTGTCCTCCATGACTCTGGGGGTACGGCTCGTGCCCTTGCCAGAGAAGACCAAGGCAAAAAAAATCATTGAGTACCTCGGCCTTCTCCATATCCTGGGGAGCCAGCTCTCCCATTTCTTTCCGCAGAGGGCCTACATTTTCCCTGATCTTCCTTTTATCACCTATGATGTCCCTGGCCAGGTTCAATTCTGTCAGGGCTTTAGCTTTCCTAACCTGCTCCTTGGCTTCTCAGACAATTTCTCTGTAATCCTCCCAGGATACCTGTCCCTGCTTCCACCCACTGTAAGGTTCCTTTCTGTGCCTCAGTTTCTCCAGGAGCTGCTTTTTCATCCACACAGGCCTCCTGGTGTTTTTACCTGACTTCCTCTTCATTGGGATGCATGGCTCCTGAGCTTGGGGTAGAAGGTCCTTGAATACTCGCCAGCTTTCTCAGGCCCCTCTTCCCTCCAGGGCTTCATCCCATGGAACTCTGCCAATCAGTTCCCTGAAGAGGCTAAAGTTTCCTCTCCTGAAGTGCGTTTGCTGCATACCCTCCTCGCCTCCTTAAGGATCTCAAACTCTACCATTTCATGGTCACTGCAACCAAAGCTGCCCTTGAGAGTCAGATCTTTACACTTCTTCAGTTAGCAGATGTGTGAATGTTGTCTAGCAGGTGTTAGAGCACGTCTGCCCACGCCTCTACGGGCTCCTTTACTAACAGTTCCCAAAACCGGTGCACTTTCTAACTTCAAATATCAATACTCAGATATTACTGTGGTTTTAAGATGCACTCGACTTTATCAAGCTTATTATCAATCTTTATAATTACCCTTAAGTAAACCGAAAAGTAGGAATTGTTTACAGCTGGCTGTACTGGTCTCTTAGTTGCCAGTACACTGAAAGCAGATAAAGTATTTACAGTAATTTAGCAGAGCTGCACACAGGTTATGAGGCAAGTTGGAGAGGCTATGATTCTTTAGACACACAGCGATCTCTTGTGCTTTCGCCCCATCACACGTATGACCAAGGATAAAAGGGTACATGTACCTTGAGTAACACAGGTTGCCTTTTCTTCCCTGCTCTGTGCTGTAATGAGGTACCAAAGAGGCTGTCAGCAGCAGGGTGAATGACACACACAGTTGAAACCCAACATACACAGTTTATATATACAGTGGGAAACTATGTTAAATGGCATAATTAACCAAGCATAAAGGTGATACAAAATTTAGCAGACGTGCCATTTCTTCAAGAAAACAGGGCAAGGGTTTGAGCAGGTAGGTATACTAAGTCTGTCAGGGAAATGCTAAATGGAACTGAGGGACAGTTACACCTGTCTACATAGAAGTACTCAGATGTGAAGTAAGAGGATAACAAATATATAGCATGTAAACAACAAACATGTAAGTGCATATGAGTACATAGTATGAAGAGTACTATGCCTATATATTTGAATCTTTGTTCATATTTCCCATGCAAAAGGATTATTAATTCGTCACAGGCAATAAACAAGGCAGTATATCATAAAGCCTCAAATGCAAAAGCATTTTACCTTTTACTACTGTTTCCCATCTCTTTGACAATAGCTTTAATCTTCTCTGCTGAGGTACTGTATGTGATTTTTTCCAACAAATTAAAGTCTTCTGCATAGAATTCATTTTCATCTAAGGGACCCAGTATCTTAGAGAGAGAAAAAAATGTTACTAAGCATAGAATGTACCAATAGTGTTTCTTCTGTAAGCAAAAGTATACTAGTATTTTAAATTAATACACAGCAGTCAATATGCAACTCCCAACCCTATATACATCAATACTGTCAACCATATAGTACTGAACTGTATAGCAACTATGCTGGATTAGGTTTTTACAGTTATGCGATTACAGTTAATCAGCAATCACAAAGAACAGCTGCAATGGAAATGTCCTTGATATTTTTCATTACACATACCTGTGTAAAGGAGTACACTATTTAGAAATAACAAATCCAAGTTTAAGAAAAAGCTCTGTTAGGTAAATTATTTTGAACTGAAATTCAAATCACTACCGGCCTTTCATACTCTTCAGTTGTTTAATTCTCTGAACAATCAAATTTTCAAGGCTTCTCAGATGAAGCAGAATGGATAGAAAGGAAGAAAAAAACCAAAGGCTAAGAAATGCAGTGGTATCCAGAAACAAGAAACAACTACTATGTTTTTTAGTGTCTGAAGGAAAAGAAGGTGCCTTGAAGTCCCAGAAAATAGCTTTGAGAATGTTGTTTGGACTTCCTACTCCTAGTCTACCAGGCTAAACCTCCCCAAGTCAAATTCAAGAACCTACAGGGCTCTCAGGATGTAGAATGTCACAACATAAGTTTGGTGCTGAATGCTTCTCTCCCAAAACTCAACTGCTTCCTAGGAATGCGAGGTTATCTAACGAAATTCCACTTTTGAATTTTTCTTAATGTTAATGACGCATGAGCTAGAGAAGACTATAGTGTGATTGTGTAATACCATGTTGTAGAAGTCATAATTAGAAAAAACCAAGTATCTGCTCATAAAACCAAAACTTCAGTGCTGAAATAGAAAGGCTAGGAATGAAGGATACACCATACCTTTTTTAAAATTAATATTTTTAAAGTGAAAACACACTTTCAGATAGATGATTATACATTAGCAAATTTATCAACATATTTTTAAGAAATGTATTTCCTCCAAACTTAAAATATGACTTGATTTGAGCTTGCATGGAAAACAGTGATAACCATTTATAAAATAACATCGCATATTTAGTTATGGAGGGTTGACACAAAACAGCCAGCACAATTCTTTTCTGCTTCATCAACAAAAATGCTCCCTGTGCATTCATTGGTGGTATTTCAGTTGTATCTTAGGTGCCATTTAAGATGCACAAGAGTAACTAAGAATACAATTTAAAGAGAGTTTCCAGTAATGAGATGCCAACATAGTATCTTTATTTCTTTCTAATGGTTGAGCAATAAATAGAAAATAAACTCAAAGAGTAGTTTGGATAAATTGTATTTGTAATATAAGATATTGACTGTCATTATCAAGTACTAAATATTGAACCCAATACTGTATTTTTTAATCACAGATCATCTATAGCCATACTGTAATTAAGGCTATTTGTTTTAGAATATACATACAAGAAATTGAAACAACAAAACTACTGTACTTTTATTTAAAGACTAAGAATTAAGACTATAGAACAATTTCAAATTTATAAACAATTTGGGCATTTGGATCTTGAAATACTACCCTTCCAGTGTAATTTATTTTTTTGTTATATATGCAGTAGTTTATCCTACTCCATATGTGTAAAATATAGGTAACTTCAGAACCAAAATTCATTCTTAAATATCATTACTAATACATCAAATATTAAACTATTTGGAGAATTTTGTCAGATTAACTCTTAAATAGCTGTGGGAATGACATATGTACATAGCAGCTTCAATGCAATGGAGCTAATAAACAAATTAGGAGAAAAACAAAATAAAAACAAAGGCAAACATTCATACCATTCTCTAAAACCAGGATGAATAAGTGGGAAATCAATATAAAGCATTTTCTTTAGCTTGAAAATGAAGTTCCAGGAAGCAAAAAACACCTACAAAAAGACTGAGATGACAGTTTCTTTCTTACCCTGCCGTTGCTCACAACAGCCATTTGCCCAGGGAGCAGCTTAAGAACCTCCTGGCAGAACATCTGGTGGGTTTTAATTAAATCCAGTCCTAAAGTGTTGTACTTCTTCTCAAAAGTACTGTCATCCATTCCCTAAAGCAAAGGTAAAGCACGAGATGGTGGAATGCTTCTGCAAAAATAAATTCTATAACAGCTGAGGTAATCAAGTATTTTCTTCAAATTATGTGGTAACCAGAAATGAAAATAAAACAACCAACTCAGCTTCCATGTAAGTACATAACTGCTGGTGTGGAGCCACGGTTTCCCAACTAGCTCGCGTGAAGTTTTCACCCTTGGGCAACTGTGAATAACCATGAGAGAAAAGCTGAGCCTGAGGTTAAGCACTTCTATGATCCAGCACACAGCTGCATGAACAATAACATTCCCTGTTAACTGAACTGTATTCTCACTTTTAGGAAAAAGTTATTAGAAAAATCCATAATACTCTAAAAATCTAACAGTCATTTTAATGTGGTCATTGGATACAGCTTAAAGATGTCCAGGGGAAGCCAACATCATCCAGTAAGACACATAACAAATTAATGTTCAGAGTAGGGATAAAAAGTGCCGGAACTTTGCCATGCTTACAGTGGCACTGTGCCTCACCTGTCAAAATTATCCTGCTATATTAAGCTCTACTGAGAAGTATTTCTTCATTATTTCTTCATTTCTTCAACATACAGACCAGGCAAATAGATTCATTCAGATACAATTAATGTAACAAAATAAATTAGTAGCATGCATATACTGGTTAATTAGCTATCTCTGTCCTTCCGAATTTATTAGACAATGAAATAAGACCATAAACTAACTAATTTTGTGCCAGAGAGTTTCAGTCTTCCAAATCTTCCTATTTAAAAATACTATAATTTACAGATTGTTCTGAAACAAAAGCTGTAATTTGCAGCTGTTGTCAAATAACTCAGCTCCACTTTATGTGTGAACATTGAAATAGGCAACATTTGTATTTTAAACAAATGAATTTTCATAGAAACACACCAGAAAACGTTGGCTAGAAGTATACAGTGCTTGTTAACCTCAACCGCTTCAGTCTGTGCCAATTACTGCTCACAACCACAACAGCAAGGAAAACCAGTTACTTCTGAATTCATAATTCTTGTTAAACACTAATAATGTGATTTTAATTTAGGGAGCTATAAAAAAAACCCCAAACCATCAACAATTAAAATTTAAACTATTTTGGTCTCAATAATCTGGTATCTGTACTCTGTATTTTTCAGTATTCTCATATTTTATTCCTAAGAAATTCTCTATTCTTCCACCACATAACAGTTGTCAAAAACCCAGATCTGCCTGAACAGAAACTGTATAAAGATTATAAACTTTATAGCATTTGGCCAAACACTGTTACTCTCAACAGCATCTCCTTACAATAAAATATATGTAACATGTGAAAAGGAAAGTAGTGTAATTTAGTTTGCACTCACTGGGATGACAAATTTAGCAATTTTAGTTCCAGCAGCAAGGGATTTTGCTGTCTCTTCCTTAATGAGTTTACTGAGAAAACTTTTTAAATTGCTGTTGTTTTGGGTTAGAAAAGCAGTCAAAATTCCTCTTGCAATGGCTGTGTTCTCTTCCTTTATTTTTGATGAAGGGTTGTTCAAAATCCCAACTCGGGTATGACTGCTTGTTTTCTGCAGAGAAAAATACAGAATAATGCACAATTTTACAGTTCCAGCTGCTACTACCTAATGTATTCATATCTATTATAGCTCTTTAAAATGCCCTTTAAATTAAGTATTGTTTTGTAGGTATTTGTCTTTAGGAAACATACATTGACGCCTAATTTAGAACTTCAACTAGGAGTAAAAATAGTAAGAATCTACCTATTCTGTAATACACATTACAAGTAGAAGATTTTTTTAGAGAATTTTTTTAGAAGATTTTTTAGTAGAAGTTTTGTTTGCACACTTATTTGAAATACTTGACCATGTGTACTTGAAACTGCTCCTGAGAGGCATGCCCTTGCTGGAAAGAAGACAGGTAGAATACTACCTGTTCGGAGACACAAGTCAAGCCAGTCGAAGGGAGTTCTTACTGCTGTGCCTGGTTTTGGTACCCCCAGTGCAATAAGGATGTTGAGATGCTGGAGGGGCTTCAGCAAAGGGCTACCAAAGGCCTATGAGGAGGCGTCGAAGAAGCGGGGCTTGCTCAGTCTCCAAAGAGGAGGCTACAAAGAACCCTAACAGCAACCAACAGCTACTGAAGGGGAAGCGAAAAACATGACAGGGCCAAACTCCTCTTGGTCGCAGCAAAGAGTGTATCAGGGGGTAATGGTCATATATTTTGGCCTGGCAGGAATAATTACGCTAGGAAGGCAATGTAACACCAGAATAAATTGTCAAGGGAGGGGACGGAGTCACCTTCGGAGATTTTCAGGACTCCTTCAGAGAAGCCAAATCTGACATATTAATGCTGGTAATAATCCCACTTTGAGTGGGAGGCTTAACTAGATGACCTCCAGAGGTTTCTTCCAGCTAAAACATCTCTAGTTTTTTCAAACAGACTAAGAATATATTAGTAGTTTTCAAAATAGTGTATATTAGATGGAGTAGTTAAAAGTGAGTTCCCTTTGGCCAATTCCCCTCCCAGATTCTTGCACGCTTTTCTTCAAGTGCCAATGGCAAGTCACGCAAAAGAGGTGTCTGTGCCAGTTTTGCACCTAGCAGAAATTCTACTAGACCCAGACCCAACAGAAAAAAGGGACTGGAAAGGAGTAGAGCATCTCCATACCAATCAGTGGACTTGAAAAAAAAATACCAGGTATTTCTCTTTCTGTCACGAAACTAGGAAATCACTGCACCAAGCAGTACATGAGGTTTATCTAAATCAAATCTATGAATTAGCATGAAGATAACCAAATAAATTGTTATTTTATAGAAGAATCAACAAACCTTATTCAGAATGCTTTTTCTAATGTTTTTCCCAGATTCTCCTCAGTAACACACAGGGACGTGCCGAGACAGTTCTCACTTCCTAGTTGGGTGCTATGGCATATTTTCCCCACTGCAGTGGGGGAAAAAAATGAAGCTACAGAGGGAGTACACCTGTCAAGCTTGGGTCACAGATGCAGCAGTCAGACAAATGAAATCTTTTGCTGTAGCAAGGACTTGTACTGCATATTCCTCTTTGCAGTTTTTAAAAACATATTTGGTATCACATGCTCCCTGCAACGTACCAATTTCATAATTCCCTCAGGGTGGTGTCGTGGTTTAACCCCAGCCAGCAACTAAGCATCCTTGCTCACCTCCCCTCTCCCCCAGTGGAATGGGGAAGAGAGTTGGAGGAAAAAGTAAGAAAACTTGTGGGTTGATAGAATAGCAGTTTACTAATTGAAAATAAATGAAAGAAAATAATGATACTAATAACAATTCTACTAATAACATGTAATGGAAATACTACTACTAAATAATATTAGTAGTGGTACTAGTAATGAAAATAATGTTGAAAACCCCCCAAATGATACAACTGCTCACTACCCACTGACAGACACCCAGCCAGTCCCCAGGCAATGAGAGTGAGAACCAGACCCAAGAGACAGACCCCTGGCCCACTTCCCACAACTTAAATACTGCGCATGACATTTTATGGAATGAAATGTTCCTTTGGTCAGTTTGGGTCAGCTGTCCTGGCTGTGCCTCCTCCCAACTTGTAGAGAAGAAGCTGGGAAAACAGAGGCAGTATCGGAACAGGAAAAATCCTTGGCTTGATATAAACATTACTTGGCAAAAACTAAAAGCATCAGTATGATGTCAATATTCTTCTCAGCACAAATCCAAAACACTGCCTCGTACTAGCTACTGTGAGGAAAATGAATTCTATCCCAACCAAAACCAGCACAGGTGATTCCTGTTTCAATCCTCATGGGAGAAGGTCTGTAAGTGGGAAGAAATTCACCCTTTTAACACACACAGCATCATGGTTTGTCTCCTGTGTCAGGAGTCCATGAACCAAATGAACCAAATGATCATCTACAGGGCTGCAAGATGTCAGTCCTGCAGGAGAATAGAGCGAAATGACAGCACAGTCTCATAAATCTGCACCTGACCCATGAAAAAATAGTTACACCTTTATTTGTGAGTATATGTTTTGAACGTGAACAGTGTGTTAAGACCATATTCAAAATAATTATTTTAATAAAAACTGCTAGAAACTCACCAGGTGTTTCAAGGCATTAGAAAGCAGTCGTCGCCCGGCTGGCTTATCGAAATCAGCGATAATCCAGACAGTAACAGCATATAACGCATCTTCAGCTGAAAATGAAAGATAATCCTGCTTTACATTCTGGAGAATCTTCTCATGAGTAATGAATAATGAATTAATTCTGTTTGAGAATTAGAAGTTTGTGTGTGTTAGCTGACTGCAACTGTAAGACTAATCTTTACCACATCAGCATTTCTCCCTCTGAACGGAAATAAAATTTTTAGGACGTACTTTATAACTTTAATATAAGAATCACTAAAATAGTCACTAATCTATTGTTGTGCCACTGAAACCAGACAGCCCTAAATAATAAACTAGCACCTGCTTTACCAGAGGTTTCTTATGAATGTTTGATGGAGGCTGGTCATATAGCCAGAAAAGAAAAGAATTAAGTAGCTACAGGAATGCATGAGCTAGGCATTCACTTTCCCAGGCAGCAAAGAGAGAGTCATAGAATCATAGAAGGGTTTGGGTTGGAAGGGATCTCAAAGATCATCTCATTCCAACCCCCCTGCCATGGGCAGGGACACCTTCCACTAGACCAGGTTGCTCAAAGCCTCATCCAGCCTGGCCTTGAACAATTCCAGGGATGGGGCATCCACAGCTTCTCTGGGCAACCTGTTACAGTGCCTCACCACCCTCTCTGGGAAGAACTTCTTCCTGATATCCAATCTAACCCTCCCCACTTCCAATTTAACCCCGTTCCCCCTTGTCCTGTCACTACAGGCCCTTGTAAAAAGTCCCCCCCAGCTTCCTTGTAGCCCCTTCAGGTACTGGAAGGGGCTATAAGGTCTCCCCGGAGCCTTCTCTTCTCCAGGCTGAACAAGCCCACCTCTCTCAGCCTGTCCCCATAGCAGAGGTGCCCCACGCCTCGGAGCATATTCGTGGCCTCCTCTGGACTCACTCCAACCGGTCTATATCCTTCTGATGTTGTGGGTTGTCCTTCAACCAAAGTCAGGACAAAACTCACCTTTTCTAGGCACAAATGGGAATATACCGAATATAGTCCAAAGAAACTAATGTGTATGTGTATATGCAGAAAATTTCCCTTTTTCCTGGTATATAGCCTCCTGTTCTTTATTCTTCATAGAATGACAATGGTACATAGAAATTCATCAAAATTATCTGTAGAAGAATATCAGTCTACTCACGTCTGTCACATATTCCCTAAAAGGTAATACGTATAGATGGGAATTTTACAAGGTTCTAGTGAGATTCTAGGGAAAGGTTGTTATTATTAAGTGTTGCTACAGTCTACAGAAACACACTGGGGACAGAGATTTGAAATGTAGATTCCATCTTAAAGGTTACGGGTTTTACACAAGAGATCTGAATCTCAGAAATGAGCCTAGAGATTGAAAGCTGTACACCATTTGACAACTAGTTGTTCCTGTGACTGTAGACAGAGAAGCAAATACAGTCAAATAATTTTCTTCTGAAGAAATGTAACTATATGGCATTTTTTTCTGACAACAGAATAAGTAAAAAGTACGTTGAGGCCACATAAAAATTACTGAAAGAGCAGCACTTTGTTAACTGGATTATTCTGTCCTTTGACGGACCAATGAAAATGAGCAGTTAAGTATTTACTCCTAGAACTCAACGAGGTACAGACTATTGCAAAATTCCAGGCAGTATTATACCCCCACTGCTGGAATCGTGATCTCTTCTAACACCAAGGGAAAGTACTTGTATATGCAATAGGAATATTTTACATCAAAAAATATTTTAAATGTACAAAAAAGTGTGAATTTTAGCAATATAAAATATATGAGTGATAACCATCAGAATATACAATTTTTTTTTTTCTACAGAAAGACAAAGTTTCAGATATCAAAGTTAAACAATCTAACTAGAGGAAAAATAAAGAGATACTAAATGCTAAGAAATAAGAAATAAAATCAGTTATTCCTTAAACTGTAGAAATGCTTGTTTTTTATACTAATATTACAAAGACTATACATTCTTCACTTGATAATGCTGCAACTAAGAGTCACCTGAAAACTGAATATACTCTCTTTAATATCCTCAAGTAAAACCGTATTGGTATAAAAACTGAGTCTATTTTCAAATCTGCAAAGGTCTTGCAAAGCTTTTTAACTTCATGTCCGTAAAACAAAAAACAACTAGCCATGAGATCCATCCCATTTCAAAACTAAGAAATCAGAAATCACTATCCTGTTAAGTATAATTTATGTTTATAATATTAGGATATGATCTGGCTCCTGAAAGAAGGTACTGGGATACTGGGAAATGTATTTATTTACATGGCTCCTTGGAAAACTTACTTACTTGGGATATTTTACTGCCAAATTCCAACAGTTTGTAATACCTATATACATTCACCTATGTATATAAAACCCATACAGAAAATGAATATACCCTTTTTTGTTAAATACTTCATGTTGTCTGAAATTACAGCACTTTTATCTTGTGAGTCCAAGAAGGAGAAAGTAGAGAAGTCTTCCACTTCAAATGGAACTGCAAAACATAAAACACAACATGTTAGACTTAAAAACCAAGGAAAATCATAATGACAGCCAATCCAAGAAAAGTAGTTACCGGATGTGGGTCTGAAATGTATATATCTTCTTCCTGATCCAAGAATAGTGGGGTTCATACGGGAAACTACATTGTGCTGATCCATAAGAAAATCCACTGCATTTATATGATCATTTAACAAACCCTGTTGTGAGAGAAAGAAATTAAAGCTATACTCTTAGAATTCCAAGACAAAAAAAGACCAAGAACTTCTATAATCTTTCAACTGAGTTTAAAGCTTCTAGGTGCACCAGGATGTGGATAATGTCAAGTCAAAAATGTATAAAAATCACACAGATAGTATTTCAAAACATCAGATACACATTTTTCAATGAAAAGCTTCAGTACATCCTCAGTTTCTGACTGAAAAATTCCATATAATTACTCTATGCTCAGTAGATCCTTCAATCTTGTATAATCTAAAGATACTGTTTCAAAACCATGAGTACAAAACAATGTTAAGAATGTAATTCAGTTATGATATTATTAATTTCAAGCCATCTCATTATAAAAAAATTAATATATAAACATGACTCAAACAATTAACTGCCATATATTTCATCTGGCATTCATTCAGAAATGTTAAACATACCATGAACACTGCCCTCTGGAAGAACCCGGTGGCATCAATAATCCTCTGAAGAATAACTGTCTCTAACTCTGCAGCATCCATCTCTTCTCTGTTAAAGGGCACGCCATTAAACAGAGCTTGAGGCAATGGACCCAGGCCAGTCTTTTTATAAAATGTTGCTCCTGCCTGATCATATCAGAAATATCACGGGATTAAACAGGCTGTGTCTGACTGTAGCAAAAAATGAGACTAATATCAAGAGACAATGAACTCTAATCTCCAAGCACAATTCACTGTCACACCTTTGCATGAGTAGCAGGGATAAAACAGGACATGTTCGGAAACCAAACAGGACGCATAGGACTCGTTTATCAAACAGAATGACAAAAAATATTATAGATCTATATATGGTGTTTTAAACTTTTGCTTTTATCATCCTGCTGAGAAATATTTACTTTTGCTTAACATTCTTAGCAAAACGTAAATGACATTGGAGAAGGACTTTAAGACAGTCATAGTTTCAGGTGGAGTGACATCAATCTTTTCCCCAAAGGCAGCACCCAAAAAAAACTTATCTCAAAAGGCTTTTAAGTTCAGAAGCCAAGCCTTATTTGATAAGAAAGCAGAACTAGCTACTTTTTCCTCAAACAGAGAAAATTCAGTGAGATAAACAGAAATAAAAATGTATTATAAGTAATTCCCCCTTCCTATTCTGCATCCTTTCATGTTTTCTTTCAGTGTCACTTTCTGGATGGCTACAAACTCTATGGCAACATCCATGTGTCCATCTTTCTGGACATCCCACTGTCTCCTCCCTGATCTTCATCACCATCTCATTGTTTCTGCTGGTACAGAGGGCTTCCTCCTGGTGGCTGTCTATTTTTCTTCCTTTAATATTCTTTATGAGAAGCTTTCCTCCCCTCAGCATATCCAGCTGTTTCCAGGGCAGGTCCAAACAGCCAAACAGCCCTTCTATAGGAAGCCTCTATACAATGCAGTGAGAAACAAGAAACATAAGGCAAACAGCACCTTTTTTCCTGACTGACCAGACGCACCTTTTTAAAAGAATATAATATATGTTGTGTGACAAATTTTAAAAGGAAATAAATAAAATGGATGTGTGTCAGAAATATAACACTGGCATGGCTGAAGACACACGAAGGGAAATGGTACTTACATATATTTTAGCAGAAAATTATCTACATATTCAATTATAGATAAAAATGTCTTTTCTATAGTCTTTAAATCAAAATCCACAGCTGTCTTTCCCAAAGGAAATTGTAACCAGAAAGTACAATTAAAGGAAATAATGATTCACTGAGAAAGCAGGCTTCAACTCCTCACCCGAAAGACAGCAAATTCTGCAGTGTCAGAGAGACCCCTCGGCATGTTTACTAGAAAAAACTCTTGTGCTCCAGAATGCAGCAGGCAGCACTAAAGTAACTCTGAGAGCAGTAATGAAGAAACCCTTTCAACATTTCCACTAATGGTGGCTGAAGAAAAATTTGACTCGAAGATACTGTATTTACTTGCTTTAACATTTAGCAAGCTTTCAGCTCAGCAAATGCAATAAATTGTGTAGTGTGATATTTCTTACCACTTTGGCCTCAACATACCTTCCTCCCTTCATCGTATTCAGAACGAACATCTAGGATACTCTGAACATCAGCGTGCGGGTATTCGCTTCTAAGAACATCTTTCACATGATCTACTGTTAGAACATTTCCATCTTTCACTTCATGGTACATCTGTAAGAATTATAACAGAAAAATTAAAAAGAAGTAATAAATTGTCAATCATAATCTAATAAAATGAACAAAAGTAAATAAAAATAAAGATATTATGTAGTGTTCTAGTAATTTTATATAGGTATACTTTTATATTGCTTTTCTTTCTATATTGCATTATATTTCTATAATGCTTTAGTAATTAACACCCTCACACTTAGGCACAATTTTTCATCAGAGCTCTGTTCTGATTAATCTATTATTAATAGTTTATTCAGTATTAATTAATTATTATTTTGATTAATCTATTATTATACCTTTAGTCTAAATCTGAAGTGGCAGAGGAAATGCACTTCTGTGATCTGAATGTGAAAGGTTATTTCTCCCCACGGATTAAGAGAAGGAATCTAAATTCCTACTATAAACTATTAATAACCACAGGTAGATACCTGAACCTATATGGGATGAATCCAAGCCTCAATTAGTCGGTGTTACTTTTTCCTGCGGTGCTAAGTTTTCCTTACCAATGCTATTTTATTTCATAGCATAAGATTCTACTTTCATGAAACATACGAAAGACATTCAAATTGAAAATTATTCAATCAGTTTATTTTCAAATGAGAAACAACACATTTCTCTCTGTAGCTCTGAATCTCTCTAACCTGTATTTTATTGATTCTATTTCTGTTATCTTTTAATGATATTTACCATCCCCTCCTTTTTATATTATGAAACAAATTAAACAGATGAGCACCACATTTAAAAAGCACATTGTAATTGATATTTTGTGATCTGGTCATGGATAACAGCCACGTATGGGTGTCAGTTCCTAACAACTGCAGATTTCTATTTCTCTTCCAAGGTACTCTTAGTTCAATTCCTTTCCTCTTAAGCTCTCTGAGTTTGTGTACGACATAAATTTCTCAGCACTGAACAGAAAATAGAAAACAAAAATAAAGAAAAAAAAAGTAGTAATGCCATATATAATTTTGCCTGCAGTGTCTTCACATAACCTGCTCACTTTATTTCCCTCCATTCATCTCTCATATCTGAAATCCCTCTCTTCACATGAACCTGCATTTTCTCACACAGAAAACCTGTCTCATTAATTAAGCTGCAAGCCTCATGTTTTCCACACCCATGAACAGCTCAAGCATGACCGTAAAGTAACTTCTCTCACTCTCTTTCATTTTCTACACTAGAGAACGACCAAGGGTGTTTCAGAGCTCATAGGATTGCCAAAGTGATTTGAAAATGCCTGTACTCCAAGAGATACAGAACACAAAAGACAGGCACATCACGTTAACGCAAATAGTACAGAATAATTTTTCACATGAAAATACTAGAAGCTGTTAAGACATGCATCTACCTTTTTACATTCTTGAAGAAAGCCTGTAGATAGGTAAAATGACAAGAGCAAGTTGGTTTCTGGAGGAGTAAAGTATTTCTGCAAATCATTCTATAGCATATTAATGCTATGCATGTTTTTCAGAGACTATTTCCACATAAAGTAAATGCAAATGTCTCACGTTGTCACAAGGTAGCAAAACCCTGGCTATGCAGAAAAGCAGTAAGTTTAAAAAAAAGGTGATTTTTTGGGAAAGAACTAACATTAATTATCGAGGTAAAGGCTTGAGAGATGTCAGATTCCTCTGCAATGTAATTAAAAGTTCTCCAAAGAGCTATTCCAGCATCCTCATTTCCATCAACTTCTTCTTTTGTACTTAAAATGAAAACAAATCCAATTCTACAAACAAACAAAAAGAGATCATAGATTTTAAAACAATATCAGTTTCACACACATTCTAATACCAACATAGAAGAACAAGATATTTCTGTTCAAGTTAATCTGTCCAACATGTAGGGATGAAAACGCCTGCAGGTAGGTATTATTGCCATGACTGTGGATGACAATGAGGACACCAGCTATGCAGTCTTCATCACATCTCCTACATTATGCTTAGATTACCAACTATGTACTGATTTTAGATATGCCTTTTTAAAGCTGACAGTAATGAAGATTTCTGTGAATCATCAGGATTTACTCAGAGCCCTTTCTCTCCTTAGCTGTCTGAAGGACGTGACATACTTTAAATTCCTGCCATCATCTCTTCAAGGCTTGACTCTTTTTTTTCAGTCTGGGAGTTGTCTGTTATTTTTCCTGAAATGTGTGTCTTGAGTGCCTGCACGCAGACATGCCATTCTTACTAGCCCTTCTTTCTGGGGCTTTCCCAACCTCACATTGCCATTAATTTTCCATTCAGACCAATTTTAAACACATCTACTACAATTCCCTACATTTGCATTATATGAAACCAGCCTTAGGAAGGTGGGACCACAGAATCATAGAACCATTTAGGCTGAAAAAAGACCTTTAAGATCAAGTCCAACCATTAACCTACCACTACCAAGTCCATCGCTAAACCAGATCCCTAAATGCCTCGTCCACATATCTCAAATACCTCCAGGGATGGTGAGTCCACTGCTTCCCTGGGCAGCCCATTCCAATGCCTGATAACCCTTTCAGTGAAGAAACTGTTCACAATATCCAATCTAAACCTCCCGCAGCACAACTTGAGGCCATTTCCTCTTGTCCTATTGCATGTCACTTGGGAGAAGAGACCAACCCCCTCCCCTCTGGTAAGCTGGAGAGAGCAATAAGGTCTCCCCTCAGCCTCCTATTCTCCAGGTTAAACACCCCCAGCTCCCTCAGGCGCTCCTCAGAAGACTTGCTCTCCAGACCCTTCCCCAGCTCCGTTGCCCTTCTCTGGACATGCTGCAGCACTTCAATGTCCTTCTTGCAGCGAGAGGCCTAAAACTGAACACAGGATTGGAGATGCAGCCTCACCAGTGCCCAGTACAGGGGGACAATCACTGCCCTAGTCCCACTGGCCACACTGTTCCTGATGGAGGTCAGGATGCCATTGGCCTTCTTGCCCACCTGAGCACACTGTTGGCTCATATCTAGCCAGCTGTCGACCCCTGGTCCTTTTCTGACTGGCAGTTTTCCCCAAGCCTGTAGCGTTGCAGGGGTTGTTGTGACCCAAGTGCAGGACCCAGCACTTGGCCCTGTTGAACCTCATACAATTGGCCTCAGCCCATCGATCCAGCCTGTCCAGATCACTTTGCAAGAACCTTCCTACCCTCAGGCAGATAAGTGCTCCCGCACAACTTGGTATCCTCTGCAAACTTTCTGAGGGTGCACTCAATCCCCTCATCCAGATCACGGATAAAGATATTTAAGAGAAATGGCCAGAGCACTGAGCCCTGGGGAACACCACTTGTGACCAGCCTCCAACTGGATTTAACTCCATTCACCACAACTCTTTGGGCCCAACCATCCAGCCATTTTTTTAAAAACAAACAGCAGGTCCAGCAGGCACCTTCCCTAGCTGGCTCCCTCACCATCATAGAATCTAAGTCACCAAAGCAAAATACTATACAACAGTACAGACCCCATGGCTCGTCCACATCTTGAATACTGTGTACGTGACTGTTGCTCTCATCTCAGAGAAGTTAAAACTAAGAAAGTTAAGAGAAGGACAACTCAGAAAACAAAACAACCTTTGGAACAGCTTCCAGGCAAAACTAGTAAC